TTGCTGGCAGATGATACGAGAAATTTTTAAAATAGTTTCAAAGAAACTGGATTAATCCCCCAGTAAACGTCGTAGACTGTTCTTTAAAAGAAATCTTGCAAAATCTTGTAAAATCTCCCTCTAAAATTTCGCGCATTATATCAACAAGCTTGTTGTTATCTATAGAGAGCGACTCATAATTCACGTAACTTGCTTCGAAAGTTCCGCGTGCTTTATTAACAAGCTTGTTATTGTTTCACGCAGAAATTTAATATCAGCAAATTGCGTCCCGCGTCTGGCGGAATTTTCGGTAATGAAACTACGCTCAATTGTGCGGGAAAGCTCTCGAATGATTCATTTGTCATCTTATCTAGAGGGCACAGAGCAAAAAAGGAAACCGACGGCACTTTGCAAGCTCACGTTCCAAGGGGAAAGAACACTCCGCAAATTTTTCCCTCGCGGGTGAGAAAAAGCTTTGTTCTTCGTTCTCGGGTCGCGGAGAATCCGAGTAAACCTCACGCCAAAAATTTGCAAACGTCCAGTCATTTTCAAGATTTCTCTCTGCCCTCTTTTATTTTTTTGCTCTCTCTTTTTTTCTCTTCATTTTCGGACGAATCTTCTCGCGCGGAAAATGTCTACGACAACGTCCGGCTGTTAAACCGCACGGTCGCCGTTATTGGCGGAGAAATTTGGAAACGGAAAATCAGAGAGTCCGTGGCTTCTCTCATTTCGATGGGATTGCTCACGCTCGGACGATTTCAGTTTTCCGTTTTCACGTGTGTGCGAATAGCTCGCAGGAGAAAATTGTTACAACGAGGCTTCTCTCGGTAACATGAATTACGATGACAAGGGTATTGTTGCGATAAATAGTCGCGGCTCGATATCGTTCGACTCGCATTAAATTGCGAATTATCGAAAATGCGCGCAACAACCTACGGTGATAGCGCACGTTTCGAGCGCTTAATTAGACGCGGAGCGTCTTAATTAGACAGAGAGAAGCATCGTTATTGACTCGTTTTATTCCCCCCCGTGCAATTTAGGGAATGCATTACGCGTTGGTATTATCTTCGGGCCGATATTATTTGCTTCGTGGATTTTGTCATCGGGAATGTTCGACCAAAACGAGCAAAACGAAACATCACGGGTTCGAGAATTTACAGTAAGGTTTATCGCCGATAGATTCTGCCGGAAGCGAGATAAATAAAAAAAAAAAAATTATTAGGAAGTGTTGTTTCGTTCGATGATTTAGTCCACGGGCGCAATCTGTTTTTTTTTTTTCGCAGAGAGAATGCATCGTCAAGTTTATTCCGTGTTGCAATAAAACTATATATAAATTTCCTCCATTGTTAATGAAGTTTGGCATTTATATTATTCGTTTCCCGTCGTATTTGTTATTTCTAATTTCGCGCGTTTCAATTTCACCGAGCCGAAATCCAAAATTTCTCGACGAGTCCGCTTCGTTTGCCGGAAAAATTTACACCAAAAGGCGCGGTTGTTGACTTATGATTTCCCTGCGAGCTTATCTGAGTGTTTCGGATTGATTAATCGTCTCCTTAACAATCTAGGTCAGTCATGACATTTCGCGCAAGATCAGCAAATGTTCTAACTCTACTTACAATGACTGGCACCAGCTTCCGGCGCTAGGAGGAAATGTTACGTACAACTTAGTTGAAACAGTTTCACAAAACTGAAATTCACGACACAGTTCTAGCATGGGTTCCGTATCGATTTTGGGAGAAAATGCGAGAACGCAAATATCTGCGAAACTTTTCAAAATTTAAATACAACACATATGTGTGTCAACGTGTTCTCCAAACTTCTTTCCCCCCCCCCCCCTCCAGATAATTTTTAGTAAGTTTTTAATAAATTTATCGAGCACCTGACCCACTTATCAGGTCCCGTATTTTGCTAGTTCAATGCAAATGCCGAACGATAAGCTACACCACACGCAAGAAACTTAAATCAGTGTGTCAAACTTAGTTGACACGCTGAACAACCAAAGTACGCCCAGCTGACAATCCTGATATATATTACCTCTTGATATGACAATCTCTATACCTGATTTCTTTTTATTCATTTTTCTCGTTTCTTTTCGAAATCTTGACTGTCAGGCAACGTTAGCTTCTCCGATAATCCCTCAACTAGTTCCACAGATTCCATGTACATGTACTTTCGAACGAAGCTACGTCCAGTTGTTTCGTCCCAACGGATTAAACTCGGATAAAATGTTCGATTTGATCGCCGTTGCTCATTCTGAAAGGAATAATTGAAACCGGAACCGAATCACTTCGAATCATTTCGTCTTTATTTCAATTGAAATTTCTCCCACATGGTGGCAAAGTTATTTCAGAGTTATCAGTCGAATAATCGCCAATGTTCGAAACGAACGAGTACTCGGCACGGATTTGACATTAGTCAGGAAAGAGTAGAGAAATTTCTTTATTTCCGGTGCGAAATTTTCGACTATCCGCAGGCGAATTAAAGTCAACATAATTCTCGCGACGCGAGTTTTCCGCATATTTGCTTCGTAAAGTGGAAATTCTTCGTGACAAGCCGCGCTGATCATCGGCGACACTATTATCGGGGCCCGATAAGCAGAAACTTCTTCCCCCGTTCCCACATATTTATTCGATTTTCTCGCCCCTCTTAGAAACGCGTCACCGCCTCGATCATCACCATTGACAAGCCTTTCTTGCCTTGTCCCGTTGATTTCTCTCTCTTCTTTTCTTCTTCTCTACCTCCTTTGGCTCGATCGAACCACCCTCTTCGCCGCGCATTATTTTCGCCACAGATATGTGGCTACGTTTTATCAATTTGTTTTGTCCCTCACGCACGACCTCCGCGAAGTACAATTTATTTGATTGCCAGCTCGACGGCCCGCATTCACAGAAATTGTTCAACCGTGTTGCAGATGCACATCGAAAGCCCGCCGCGATAAAATTCGCCCGCCGCTTTCTGTATATCCTCTTTATAAATTATTCGCGTGCTTCTACATGAACGCGGCTTAAGCGTGCGTATGTACGTACGTAGTCTTGTACGTACGTAATTTCGACTGAAATACAACGGCTCGCGGAGGCGTTCGATCAATCAACAAAGAAAACCTTCGCGCATACGTCGTGCGCGTTACGTAAGATATTTTCGAAAATTAGCACTGCCAGGATTTTTACTCGCTGTTTTCTGTAGAAATTCGTTTCATCCGATTTTTGCGCAAATTCCTATTTTTCTTCGAAGATGATGAAAAAAGTGGGTCTGTCGCGAACCAATATTATAATAGGTACTGCATTTCTGATGTTTTATATATTTTCGTGCATATACAGTCTATGTATTTTTTTGTACGTTCGAAACTCCTACAAAACTGCGTGAAGGAATTGAAATTTCTTCAGGAATTCGTTTCGTGTAAATTCGTATTTCCTTGAAGACGATGAGAAAAGTGGATCGATTGTGAACCAGTTGTGAAAGATACTTTATTCCCGATATTTTTATATATTTTATATATTTCCGTGCATGTGCGTTCTATGTATTTTTGTACGCTCAGGTTTTCTACAAAACGCGTCAAGTTGGAACTTCTTTTATTCATTTCGTTTGTATTACTTTGACGACTATGAAAATAATAAGCCTGTTACGAACCAATTGCAAAAGATTCTATTCCGTTATTTCGTACACAAATGTGCATTCTATGTATTTTCCTTTTTTTTTTTTTTTTGACGTTCAAACGTATAAAAATTCACGGTACAATAACGAAACACGGACGCCACGATTGTATCGGCGAGACTCGAAACCAATTTCAAGGTGTACCTACAATTAGAAGTTACGAGTAATTTATTCCAAACTCGTAATTGTTTTCAGAGGGTTTTAGAGTTTCATCCCTGTAAATCGTTTGTTTGCCTCGAATAAAAGGTGGTTTCGCTGTTAGTGTCAACCGAGTTACATTTTTGCCAAGTTTCGAACTATCTCCCCCTCGAGTTCCCCGGCTGATGAGTTTCCTCCGTTAGTGAAAAATCGTACAATCACTCCCAGCGTATAATTAATGACAAGCGTCATTTCGTCGCACACACTGTAGTACGTTAACTGAACAGGAGTTAATCGATCCTCGTTCAAATATACTTTGACGAGTTAATTGATGATTTTCCACAAACGGGGTAGTGAAGTGGGACGAGTGTTTCGCCGCAAATAGAATATTGCATTAATTTAATATGAATTCACTGACTAAAACTGGACGCTTGCAGCTTGCAAGCCGCTAATTCGAAGCGGTGTTAACACGGTGATCGGTACGCGTTGTAGAACCTGAGGCATTAACATTTAAAATTAGAAAACCACTTGTAGGTCTGGCGATGTGTTTGCATCGCTGCAACACTCTGCCCGGGAACGAGAAATGTTTGCCTATCAATTATTCGCCACTTCTCGTCCTGTTACACGCCTACGTCTATGTTGCGCTCTATTTTTACTCGGAGCCGTAAAATCCTCTCTCTTTTTTTCGTACGAGAGGCTGTTCGAGAGTCGCGATTCTTCGAACACACGATTCGTTGAATCGAACTGCATTCGAGTCTGCGTAAATTGAAAAACGAGCGAGTTTTAAAGAAGCGAGCGAGCTTTCACTTTCAATTACTTACTAATGTACATTTCGGAATATTCTGTGTATTTATGTAAAAATTTAGATACATTCGCGAAATATTGAAATCCTGCATGAACATTATTTCAAGAATTCCGGCAGCGTCTTCTACATTTTATGCACGTCGGTATTCAATTTCGAATTCTTCTCGAGAAATTCTTTTCGAGAAGAGGAACGCGTATTTTCCTATATAGTTTTACATTGATCTCCGTGTTGAAAAATTCCTTCACGAAGATTATTTCAAGACTTCCTAACTACCAAATTCCTACGTCAAAATCAATTACGAGTTAGTTGCAACGATATTACAATTTTCCTTTTCGCGTTTAGTTATCTCGTGAAATAACGTCGAACAGAGTAACCCGACCCCGTTCGTCGATAACTCGATTCGCCAGTGACTTGGTAAGTGATTTACCTTTCACGGCTGCCTTCCCCGTCTCCGCCGCTGCGAATTTCAGCCTTCTTAACCGGTCCTCTCAAATTCGTCGCTCGTTCGTTTACATCCTCCGTTTCAACGAGTCTTCGTACCCTGTCTGGCAAACATACGGTGCACACTTACGCGCCATTCACTCGTGACTTGCCTGCCTGTCCGTCGAGTCGACGAAATACCCTCATCCGCCACATTCAAAACGAAAAATCTACGAAACAAAGGTGGAAAGAATGCAAAAGAAACGCCAGTAGAAACTCGTCGACTTTCAAATTTTCAACTCCCGTGAAAGAAGGAAATCGAAATTCATGGTTGCCCGTATTATGTCACTATTATGACGGACCCACTCGGCGAGAACATTTACGAGAAAGAGCGCTGCTCTGTTATTTTCGATGGTTCGCGCGTTTCACGTCCCGACGATCGATGATCGTTCGACAGGCAATTTTGCAAGATCTATCTTCTTTTTTTTTTTTTTTTCAGGTCCGCTCAGAGTGAACAACCGTTCGTTACTGCGAAACGAGGGAATTTTCACCGGATGGTTGGACGTGTTCACCACGAGATATCAATTCGGCGAAATCGACAGCGCGCCGTAAACTGAAGCGAAACTTGGATTCGCGGAGGATCCGCGCTCCCTCGACGCAGTCGCAAAACACGATGCATCGTTTTGTCTACTCTTTCTCCTATTTCGACGCCTGACACCTCTCTCACCCTTCCGCCCAGGCCGCGGGATGCGCCGCCTCCAACCATCCCCCGTCATTTCTTTTTTTTTTTTTTTTTTTTCCCACGAATCGAAGTCGGCAACACGCCGATTCGATTTAAAACGAATGTTTCGCATTAACGGGGGTTCCCCTCGTCGACTTCTTTCCCCTATTCGCCACCGCGACCTTTGGAAATTTCGAAATTTTGACCCACAGTCTCTAAGCGAAATTTCGAGCGGACAAACAGGTGAAATCGTCGCGGCGATAAATATCAGTTAAAACTGACGGGAGATAATTAGGAGTCGGTAGTGTGCGATTAAACAGCGGCGCTAGTACGCATCTAGTTACTCAATCGATTTAATTACGTTGATACGTTTGACAAGCGTATCCGCCGAAAAACAACGGAATTTCGCCGAATTCTATAGCGTTCGGCGCGTTTGCAGGAAATTGAGCCAACACGCAGCCAGTGTTTCGAATTTCTAACGTTTGAATCAGTTGGCAGCTGCTTGAAAAGTAAAAAAAGAAAGAAAAAGGGAAGAAAAGTAAGAGGTGACGTTGATTTTTCAATCTTCGAATCTTTCGTTAATCGAGTCCGCGACGAGAATTTCGACGATAAACTAATTTTTACTTTCGATTCTACTCGAAAATGTTTAACGAGTGTACATGTCAAAGACCCGAGTCGAGTATTCTTATTGTAACTGTTAGATTCCACGTCCGTTCTTCGATGAAAATTCTGTTTGAGAGAATAACTTTCTCTCTTTCTCTCAACGCAAAGATGATCGGTAATTGCTGCTCACCGGGAACAGAGGTTCGGCAAAATTTCGCCAGTTCTCTGTTCTTCGAGCAGTCTCTCACCGAGATAGAAAGTCTCACTTTGGTTCATCGTTCCGGTCAGTTGCATCTTGCGATGCCAGATAAATCAGAGCTAATTAGAAATTCTCAGTTAAATCGTAATTGAAATATCCAGTTGCTCAGTCAACTTGATTATTCCATCATGAATCGCGAATCACTGTGAAACGAATTTACGTGAATGTTATAACGGGGGATGTATAACTCAATAAATAAATATTCCGCGGGCGATTCTATTGGCATCTCGCGCGCGAAAGAGAGAGAGGGAGAGGGAGAGGGAGAGAATGTGCTCGCAATAAGAGGCGGAAGACCTTTAGGAATGCATCTGTTGAACTCGATCGATTCGTGTTAAATCAGTGAAACGCAACAGTCGCTAGAAGCGTTATTTATTTCGTTCGATGCCGGCAGATTGGCGAAGCGGTCGGAATTTCTGGAAACGTCCAGACAACCGGCGGGCAGGGATTACGTTTGCGAATCCACTTGGAATTCAATTAGAATTTCCACGGTAAGTGACAACAACGAGCCAACACGACGAGTTGGTAACGCCATGCAACACGTTTCAAGCAACTCGGTGAGAAAAAGCGGTAATTATTATTTTTTTTTTTTTTTTTTGTCTTCAGTCGTCGAGTTGCGATCGCCAGTTGCGATCACGCGGCCGATTCGTCGACACGCGTCAAGGTTTTTAAACGTTCGACAACGCGATAGAAATCGTTTGTTGACTGTTTAATCTTCAGCGTGGCGCGTTCGAGGATCCCGAGTTTTTTGTTGAAAAGATTTCGCTAATTCTTTAATCCTCGAGTTGCGTTTGCTGCGACGTGTTGGTGTTCGTGAGCGACTCGTCGATACGTGGCCAGAGATTCCAAGTCTGCGGACCGTTCTCGCCGAGAGAGGGAATAAAAATTCGAATTAATTCCTTAGCGTTCGAATCTCGTTGCTCGTTACGTATCGGATTCGCGAGAATCTCGTGCTTTCGAAAGCGATGAAAACGATTAATACTGTTTGTACGCGAGAAAGAAAATGAAATTTCGTTAACCTTTTAGCATTCCGATCGATGATCCAGCCGGTCCTTGACGAGAGATAGAAAATCACGTTACTTTTATCATTCGGCTTGTTTCTCCTCTCTGGTCGAAAATTTCATACACCGTCCGCGTGTATTTCCGGATAATCGACGAATTAATAAGCTTCGCCTGTGAATTGTTGTGAAAATTCCGGCACTCGTGCCGCTGGCACTCCGATCTTCGTTTATCGAGAGAGTGTCGATCAATTTTCCCAACGTGAATAAATCATCCTGCAAATGTCGAATTACCCAGCAGACAGAAATGGATGATCCCACCGATTTACGAACCAAGCTGCAGGCCAGTTTCATCGATCGCCGTAAAGAGACGAACTTTTAATCGCGAAGAGCAACACGAGAACAGCACCAGTCAGAAGGAGGAGATCTTCGTTGGACAAGCTCGCAGGTACGTAGAGCTTTCAACCTCTCAGGTCGTTGCAACAACGATCAATTTATTAACACACGATCCGATCGACAGCCCTTTTGTTCTGCCCTTGATTCTGTTCGTTCGTTCCTTGCCATCGCCTGCGCGACCACGTTTCATTAGAATTCTCGAACCTCGGCCAATTTTGCCTCTCGCCATTTCACTGGTTATTATTTTTCTATTTAAATTCAAATCTCATCAGTCGTTCAATTCCGTGCTACGAATTAAAATTTAAATTTTCGCATCCTCAAATTTTCATTCGCCGTTCCGTCGAAATTAAAGGAATTTACGAACGATGGAGAATATTTCCAAGTTTCTGTTCGAACGTTTGTGAAACATTTCTGAAAACAACGCAAGACTATTAGAATATCTGGAATATCGATGTTCTTGAAATGATCTCTTTCAAATTGGCAAAGTGTTTCGTTCCCTTTTCACGTGCCATTTATTTTCCTTTCCTAATTACATCGTCTCTACTGAACAGAGAGAGAGAGAGAGAGAGAGAGAGAAATGATTCTTTGGTATTAAAATTCAACACCATCTCCCACCGTTCGTCCGAAATTCTACCAACCTTTCTATCTTCCCCACTGATAGGGAGAATAAAACTAAAATTCCTTCGTAATCACTGTTATCTTCATGGCCCACGTGTTCTTCAACAGCGAACGAAGCTGTCTAGATTCGTCGTTTATTTACCGATCGTTATGCCGTCACAGGTTTCCCCTGAGTCGAGTAGAAGACACACTGGCAACAGCCCGATTCGCTTAGGGTTTCGTGGAAATTGCGATAAAAAAGTACAGGGTTCGTCCTGTTCGCCAAGCCAAACGGAAGCCAACCGCGAGGAAATAGAGCACGTAATGGACGATGGACGAGCGAAGGAAGGAGCAGAATACGAACACGAAATCTTAATGGACCTGAATGATTCGGAAATGTATACAAAAGTCATTTGCAAAAGTGTTTCATACTTCATTTTCATGCATTTGAATCCACGCAGACGCTTGGTTATTTTAATTAAGAATTAATCAACGTTGAAACACACCGAGGGTTTTTATCCTTTGCAATTATCACGATGATAGATTATTGTGAAATAATCAGATTGATGTACAATTATTGTTACTTGACGAGCTCTTTATCGTGAGAAATTATATAGGATTATTCCAAGCTTCCGAGCAATCTGGAAAGATTCAAATTTCCAATTTCATTAGTGACAGATCGTGACACCTGCACGAGCGAATGTTAGCATATCGCTCGTCAGTATACAATTGGTACACAGTTTAGCTTCTGGATAATTACCTTGTCTCGGTGTGTCACAACATTAACACTTGGTACACGATTTGGCTTTTGAATGTGTAATTAAGTCGTTGCATTATGATATCGAGTTACAATCGCGGTGTGCATTGCAGATTCGGTACAACATATTGCATTCGCGTTATAATTTTCATCGCGTTAGCCGAAGCTTCCGATTCTACAATAAGGATCTTCAAGTCTAAGATGCAGAATTACCGAACAATGTTTCATCAACAATATATCGTTTGTAATTACGCTGCTGCAATGTTTGTAGAAAATTTTCCGGTGCAAAGAATCGAACGCGACATCTGAAACGAGTAAAGTATTCGTAGCTTTCACTCCTTTAACTACGTCAGCAAGAATTTTCGAGAACGCGTACGCCATATTTTAATAATAAAATCGCCCGTATATTTTAATAATAAACTCTGCCCGATATAATTAAAAATGAATTCGCCCTGGAAATTTTCATTTCATCTACGGATTCCTTTACTATTACATTGCGTCACTTCGTTTCAATTATATTCCTGTTTTTATTCCTGGTTTCTCTGATACACTGTGAAATACAACATCGATTACATTCGCCCTCGTGAATTCTCCCTTCGAAGAAAAGGAGGGAAATCAGCCGATAGCACGCGTAACGCCGAGATACCTTAATTTCACAAATAAGTTCTAGTCGTCGAACGCATCGGGGATTCCTCTTCAACAATTTTCAACGCGAGATAAGAGCCAGTGTGGCACCGTTGTATGCGATAAAACCAACCGACATTGTCGTACGGAAAGTTATGAATTCTAGGGAGCGACCAAGTTCTGCTAACTCGACCTGTCGTGTAAATTAATCGCGGGGAACTTCGAGTGGTTGCACTGAAAAGTTACCATGTAGAATTTGCATCAAATTTCGTATCATTTTTCCACACTTCCTAACGGTTTTCTTTTGTTTTCCCGTTTCACTTTTTTATTCAAAAGTACTTGGACACCTAGCTTGGAACAACGAATTGCGAACTTTATGCAAACGTACAAATTGACAGAAAAATTTTTATTGCACTGAAATAGTTCATTTCGGAGAGGAAATGAGACGAAATTTGTTTTATAAATGTCTGCATCTTACGACTTTATAACTTGTCCAATTCATTAACAAGTTGTAAGTTAATTAAATTATCGTGCGAGAACTCTGACTTCTCATCTCGCGTTACACTCGACGCAACAATTTATTAACCAACAAAATTACTGCAGTGACTAACAAGTTTGACATTACACGTTACACGCTGTATCAAAGAAATGATCCGTAATTTATAAAATTTGTAATTTTCGTCGAGACTTAGGCCACCGTTACGCAAGAGAATTCATTAATATTAACAGTTCATTCAGACTTCACTAACGATATTAGTTCAATCGTGGACCTTGCAATTGCGTTATAACATCTCCATGCAAATTAGAATGACATCATTTGCCTCGCGCGTTAAGAGTAACGCACGGTCGCGAAGGAAACAATTCCGTAGTCGAGCGAAACAGGACAGAGGGGAAAAAGTGGCGTGTAACGAAATTCAACGTGCACCATGTGGAATTTCGGAATGAAAGTGACACGGTGCCTGCGCGATACGACCGTGTCCGAGGTCGGTGATACCATTTAAACGCTACAATCGATGCAATCAAGAACATTTAAGTCAACCGGTGCGTCGCTGGAATACCAAACGGTAGCAGTCAAATCCAGCGCCAACCGATCGCAAACCGATTGTCGATTTTCAGTAACTCCCGTGGAAACGGCGCGGATTTTATGCAATTCGTCCCACTGCGATTCGTGCGTTTGTTTCCTAAGAATTTCCACGTTTCCACGTTCAGGGCAGAATGTCTGATATTATAGTTTGTTTTATCCGTAACGGATGGTATCGCGGCACCGTAGGAATTTACGATACTTTGGATAGGAAATGGAATGTTATACGTTGCTACTGGCTAATCCGGATGCCCACGCATAAAATCGAGAAAGGTATTTAACAGTTATTCGACGAATATATAAGTACGCTACGTTCGAATCGTAATTCGATGAAAGTATCCTGCCCGTACTTATTTTTGCGAGATATCCGCCTGCGAAACATTTCATTTCATTCGTTGGATTCCCAGTGAAATGTCAACTCTCTTGGCAAAATGCTATCGCAAACGTTTCTCCAGAAGTCTGTCCTTGATACTCTTTTTCTAATTTAGCGGTGATACGCTAGTCCAGATTAACAGCAGATATTAAAGCCATAAATAAGACCTTTACTGCTGCAGTTCATGGCGGCGGATAGAGTTTCAAGAAATATCGACAATACGCGCGATCTCTTTTTTCTTTTACAGTGATTCCTAATAGTCCTAACGTTCTCGATATTTTTCCCAATTTGCGTGTTGGTGACATATTTGAAAGTGAACTTTCTTTTTTATATTCTTTCAAATTCAATTAAAAGGGAGTAATTTTTATGCATGGAAATACAGCTTCGTGACCCTCTCAATTAAGACTGTCTTTTAAAATATCGTGACGATGCTGAAGTGCGTTCAGTGTCTATAGAAATTTTCTTTGTTCATTTTTCCTTTTGTTGTACCGCGCGATCGAGCGACAGTTCACGCAGCAGTTTTGCTGGAAGTCCGGACCAAACTTCTCAGCTGAACGTCCGACGATAAGATTAATGCTGGTTTCCATTTGCTAGCACTGCCGCCATCTGACGATCGTTTGTTGAATCATTCTTCGCGCGGGAGATTCTGATCGATGACAGCCAGAAACGGCACGTCCTGTTATCGCGAATTGGTAAGAACAGTCGCAGCTTTTTCCACTGTAAGAACAAAACGCGAGAGCCTGAATATCCTTTTTATCGCAGGCGTTTGCCGCTTCTATCTTCCGTGGAAATCAAGCTTTAAACGCCATCTGATAGCTGTTCTGTTCATGACAACAAACGCGAGATTTTTGCTGGTCTTTTGCTATCGACATCTACATACAGCGAGGCATTTTAACATAATTCGTTGGTAACTTGTAATTGGTTCAAGCAACTTGTTAATTAACCATGTAAATTTTCCATTCGACGCAATTTATCCGCCAATTTCAGCGTTACTTCTCGCGCGTTACGATAACACGTTAAAAATTTGCTTCTCAGCGAGCTTGTTATCTGGCGCGAAACTGCTATCTGGGCGCTACAACCGATTAATCTGACAGATCTATAATCGGTTTATATTTGCACAGAGATAAAACGGTTTGCACGTGCCTTGTTCGGCTAGCCAAACGAACGGGGGCTCGTGATATTTCATATTTACGACGCGTTGCTAATCGCGTTCTTTGGATCATCTTGCATTCAATTCTTTTTCTTCCTTTCACAAAACGACAATATTGCCAAATTCCATTTTCGATGAAACGATATTCCGTACGAAATGAGAATGATGAAAGTAAAATTCCCCGGATTTCCGTTTTTTTTAACACTTATTCAATGACTATAAAATTGAGAACTTCAGAATTGTTCGACAAGAATCTTTTCGCCACCTGGAGACCTACTATCACGAATGAGTCAAATTTCCTCAAAATAAGAGGAATCACTTTCGATCCGCAATGTAATATCTAACGTTTCAAAATCTAGTGAAAACACCCGGGATTCTCGTGGCGGCTGTTTCGCCGTGGATTCGTTTAACGCCGCAAGAAAAGCAAACAGTTGCTTTTTCCGTCCCTGTAAATTCATTCGTTTCACGGA